CCTGTGCTGTTACAGTCTCCCCGGGTGGGGGGAATGGCTGGTGCTGTGGCTGGATGCAGAGTGTGCAAGCTTCTCCCCTTGTTCCTGGGAGGTGCAGGGTGGTGGGTGGCAGTGTTCCATCCCTGCCTGCCCTCCCAGTCATTCTTGATGGGAAAATTGCTACTGTATGGAGATGGAGATCTATCTATATATCTATAATTTTCAGCAGCATAAATCCTTTTGACTAAATGCACATGAATGTGGTTTAAAGGAAGCAGGTGATATGTGGTCAAATTTCTGCCCTCTGATCTACACTACTTAGTTCCTACTAAGTTTGCATTAAATTTTGAGATCTGTACACATTACTCTAAAACAGGAGCTGGTCCTACGCAAGTATTCTCAGCTTTGAATTTAGGCAGTCTTAAAGTAGCTGGAGTGATGGGTATAAATTTAGCTTGATTTTTGTATTTCTTTGATAAATGTACAAGGAAGATGAAATGAACTAAGTGGATTAAGAAACTAAGTTTGTAAGAGTGTTACAATTTCTGTATGTAAATAGGATGACAAAAGGGAAGAACCCACTTCAGAGGCATGATGTGGCAAGAGAGGATGAGTATAATTCAAAATGTGGAAACTTCTGTGATATACCAAAAGGATTTGGTTATTACTTTGTTATTACTTTGGTAGTTCAGAGCTAATTTTGCTGGAATCCTGTTTTCAAGCTTTTGACTACATTTCTAATGGGTTTAAGCTGTGATTATATTTTCTTCTATTAAAAAAATGGATCACTGTTTGTTAAATTTAGTTTTCGCCAAATTTGTGTTAAACAGCTCCATGTGCCCAGACCACCTGGAAAAACTAACCATTCATTCAAATAGAAATAATAATAAAGATACCCTTTTGTTTCTTAGCACTTCACAGGGGTTTTGAAATCTGCAAAGCAAACATACTACATTGTTAACCAAGGCATGGTTAGAAAAATGTCTCAGAAGCTCAGTTTGTAGATAAGTATATCAAAATGGGCAGGAGTTGCCAAACTATGGCCTGGGCGGCCTGTGTGTGTGGCAAGCTGCAGTTTGAGGAGACGGGGCAGGGAGCAGAAAGCAGAACAGCAGGTCAAACACAGGAAGCCAATTGGAGTGGCACTCCAGGCATGGGAGGGGGCTAATCAGCCTCTACTGTGGTGAGGAGACTTATGCTTTTGGTGCTGATGTACTTTTTTTCTGTAGGTAAAGTAGATTTGAGTTTTGTTCTCTTGGCAAGTGTTCAGCAGAGTTTAATTATTTTTCTGTCACTTCTGTCATTAGGGTTATTGACTTCAACATTTCAGTGGTGCAGAACATGGATTCTTTTTATTGACCAAGCCCTTGCATAGTTGCTTGATTAAAGATATATTTGTAAATTGATCCCTTCCTAGTTTTGTTACAGTGAAGTAAGTGTACGATCAGCATTTACCCGTTAACTAGGTAATGCGTCAAAATGGCTATAAAACAACGATGCAGCATCTGGTTAAGAAAGCCCGTGCTTTGATTTAGTTAGCCTATAAGGTACACATCTATCCTGTGTTCTGCATGACTTCAGACTAACGTGACTAACTACCTCTGTCTGTAAATAAGATCAACACATGCCACTGCAGATTTCCTTTCTGCTATTATGTATTGTTCCTGTGTGGCAAGTTAGTTCATCATAATAGGGTATTTTGGAAGCCTGATTTTCATTTTCTGTAGGACAGACACTTTTTTTATAAAAAAACAAAACAAAAAACCCTTTGCATATTACTTCGGGCTAAGTAACCATTATGCTATTTGAAGATGCTTATCAATAATATAAAAATCCAAAACTACTTGGAGAGGCAGAGGCCTTATTTCACAAAAGCAAGTAACAATATAGAGAAGTTGGCTTGAAGGAACAATATGGAATAATGTTTAATTTTATTTTTATGTGCATTTAATTTTGTGAGGTTTCTACAGTTTACCATGCAAAAAATAAGGAGGATTAATGATCTGTAAGAACTCTGCTTATTTAAGCAGTGGGGCCTTCTGTCTCTTGTAGAACTAGTGGCCATCGCAATGTTTTTACGTTAAGGGTTGCTATTTGGCTTTCCATAATTCAAACCTTTAATGTCTTCATTTTTTGTGGGCCTTTTCTTTAAGCTTTATTCCTCCCCCTGCCCGCACCCTTTCCACGCTCAAATTTGAAGTTTTACAATTCTAGCGAGGGGCAAGATGTGTGAATGAAGGTGGCTGACTGTAGATTTTTAGAACTGTAGACAAGCTTTCATGGGAGTGGTGGGGACTGGAAGTTTTTTTCTTTCTGTTAATCAGTTGAGGACACCTGAGGTGTTACAGGATCATCTATATTAATGGCCAACAATTAATTCTCTTGAGTGTGATAACTTCCTTTGCCACGTCACTTTCCTGGTAACCTTTTAGTAAAGTTGTATAAATTGCTTTTGTTAACAAATATGCAAATAGAAGTTGCTTATAGATTATGGGCTCCTGTTAAGTAAGGAGGATGATGTTTAGATTTGAAATTGCAAATATTACAATGAGCAGTTAATCCTTTTAATACATTGGTGTTTAAGAAAAGTAAGTCTTTTGGGTTATGGGTGTACCAATAAAGACTTTTTTTGGCTGATGCTTATAGCTGATGATTAACCAACCATATGAGCTGATGTCAATTCAATAACCAATGTTTAGTAATAGTGCAAGACATTTAAAACTACTGACATAACCCTGCTCTGGCCCTCAATGAGGAAGGCAGTGACTACCTTATTCCCACACATTGCCCCCTCACCCATGGCTCCTACCCACAGCCCTGCTTCCCACACGGCCTGTGCTGCTGTCCCAGGTGGGCGAGACAGACCCTCATGTGGACAGCAGCACCAGGTGTTTGAAGCCCCAAAGCATGCCACTGCCTCAGCACTGGTGGACCCTGCACAGCCAAGCTCAACCACATTTTGCAAAGGCATCTGATGCCTGGTGGAATGCAGTGTCCCTCGCACAGTGCCTTACTCCACCTGCATGCAGCCTGACATCTGTGTAGCAGCCCCAGCACTTGGGCCCCTGCTGCATATACAATGTTGCCATGGCAGTGGCAGCGGCAGCAGGAGCTGGTAACAGTCCCTTTGTTGCTGAGTGTAGTGCCCTGTGACCGCTCCCTGGCGTCTCCTCCCTCTCCCACTGCTTGCAGGGACCTGTAGTCTGCTGTGGGCTCGGGCTGGCAGTGGGGCACAGGGACTAGACTAGGCTTGCCAGGTTGCTCCAGGAATGTGGCTGTAATTATCGGCTACAACAACCAAAAAAGCCAATAGCCAATAATGTAATTTCTTCTTTTATTGGTGCCTATCCCAAAGCCAACCAGTATATTGGTGCACCACTATTCTGGGTCTCTTCCCTTTGCCACCAATCCAGCATACTGACATTTTAGGGAATCCTGTGGTGGCTCTAAACGGGTATCGCTGTCTTGTAACAAAACTCCATTGAGTACTGTAGTTTTTAAAATACCACTCTAGAGCCTTGGTGGCATGTTCAGTTCTACAGGGCTAATATGACTGTTTTGGATGGTTAGTTCTGATCTTTAAAAGTGATGGGGAAGGGAGCTGCTTGTGTCAAAAGCAATCTTATTTCAATGGAAACATTTCTCATTACAGATCCTGTATATCCTTTGGACCCAAGAATCGTTCAATTGGAGCTGCAGCTAAAAGCCAAGTAAGGATTTTATGTTCAAGAATTACCTTAACCAAAAGCAAAGCTACTGAAAACACATTACTTCTGTATTAGTTAGTATCTTCTCATATATGAAGATGCATACAAACACTTACTTATTTTTAAGTGAAATCCTAATCGTTGTATGTTAAATTTTTATTTAGCTATTCAGTCTTTAATGCTAATATAATCTGTCATTATTTTGGGTAGGGGATTAAGAGCTTATTACTTTTCATAGTAAAAGGTATAACTTCCCCCTTAAGTGCTTAATGATGAAAATCCTGTTGGTCAATGTGAAATACCAGATTCACAGTTACTTGTGGATTGGATACCCATGGTGGGTACCTTGTAAGTTTTATTAACATGATTTCAGGCTGTTCTTTCCATCCGATCCCAGGTTTCATGGATCAGGTGCATAGGTTTGAGTGCACAGTTAATCTTGTAGGGCACATAAAAATTGGTTTGCGTAACTTGCTTGAGTGCCTGATTCTTCACACTAAGTGGCTTTCTTTTTAACATTGTTTGCATATATATTATCATTTCATTGGAACAGTTAGACCTGAACTGAGTTCACCGAGAGTTGAATTAAGAGCTCAGGTTAGGGGTAAGGTAAGGTTTTGTTTGTGCTGCATGTGTGGCAGTCTGGCCTCAGCAGCCTTACCCAGGGTCCTGGGGCCCTCCTGGGGCTGCAGCTGTGGCATGAAGCCTGGCCATCAGCTGGTGGGTGGCTTCAGCTGGCTAGGGTCTGGTTTTGGGTGATATACGCTGCTGCCACGTATGCTGTCCCACTTTTCTTTTGGCATGGGTTTACTTGACCCTGGGATCTCCCTGCATCAAAAAACCACCTACTCTGCAAGGTAGCGGTGTGGGGAATGCCTGCAAGTGCAGTGTCTGGTGCTGCAGACAGGTCTGTGGTGCCGCATACTGCACGTCTTTGCCTGTCTGGATGGAGCCTTAATGTCTAGAATCCTGAAGATGAGACACCAACATGGTGTACTTGTAACCCTTTATTTGTTTGATTTTATTATTATTATTATTATTATTATTATTATTATTATTATTACAGGCTTACCTTGCTTTATGCTGTACATGCATTCCTGGAAAACAGCACATAACTCGAATTCACATACAGGGAATCCACTTTACAGTGTAACAAATAGGGATATGGTCCAAGACCTCCAGTGTACTGACCCCCAGACCCGTTTCTACTACTTTTACAAAACAATTTTGGTACTCGCCAACAGCAGACAATACACACAAATACAGGGCACTATCATGACGGGGATAGCAACTACAGAAACACATAGTGCAGACAAAGAGCGAGGAGCACAGATCCACACAGGAGACTTTGTGCATCACTCCGTACTGCACAAAGAAGCTGACTGTGGACTTCCACCGCACCGATCGCATAAGAGTGAATTTATATATTGCATGTGACAAATTTTTGGTATAAAAAGGGTCATCGCATGAGAGTGAATTTGCACATGGAGAACCAGCATAAAGCAAGGGAAACCTGTATTTCTCTTGCTCTTGAGTTGAATGCAAACATCTTGCTGGAATTTCTCCTGCGTGTGCTTGACCTGTTTCTCTAAGATTTTACTGTTTTGTAGGTGCATCACTGGTGCAGGAAACGGTTAATATGAAATTTGACCTCTGATCACTGGATTCCTGGAAATTAAAACCAAGTTGCTTTTTAAAGGCAGTTATTAAAATCAGGTTGGAGTTGAAGTATACCATCTACCTGGTACAATAGCTGCCTAACTTGCAGTCCCCTACCAGTTTTTTTCCCTCAGTATTTTTAAATGTATTCCTCTCCAGTTTTTCACAATTCTTTCAGTAGCAAAGGAAAGGTGACCAGACATGCAGAGTCCATGCTAGAATTTGAAAAAGACCCAAAATTCCTGCAAGAATAATTTGGGAGATCAGAGTCTGTTTACATTTTGGCTGTTTTAGCTGCTGCCTTGTCGTGACTGAAAATACAAATTACAAAATCTGGCAGGGAAGACTAACAGAAACATGTAGTTTTCTTACTTTTTGTTTGAAATTTAGAAGGTCCCCTGCCACTTTGTATTAATGATCTTTCCCCCTATTTAGGTTATTTCAAATGCAAAGAACACAGTACAAGGCTTTAAAAGATTTCATGGCCGTGCATTCTCAGATCCCTTTGTTCAAGCTGAAAAAGCCAACCTTGCCTATGAACTTGTTCAGCTGCCAACAGGCTCAGCTGGCATCAAGGTGAGTCAGATACACTTGGAAAAGACTCATGGGGGAAGGCAGTGGTGGTGACTTTACCACTTATCTATTTTTGTAACCTTTGTATTGGTACCTCTTCTACCTTTGTGAACGGGGAAAATCTTTACTGGTGAATTGAGGGCCAGTTTTGTTTGAGATCTCTCTGAAGAACTAAAATTCAAAGCAACAATTACTTTAAGCCTATTCCTCAACTTAAAACTGCCTTCTGAAGTGAACCTGAATATTTCTTTCATAACTTGAGAACAATAGACAAACAGACTGTCAACAGACAAATTGACTAGGACTGTAAATAATATTGTAAAGAACTATGCAAATTTTCTTCTTTGCCTAGAACCTGAACTCTCTTGATTTCTCACTTGGAGCAGATGTTTCTGACTAACAAACCATTGGACAAACATGTCCATACAGGAATTAAAACCTGGATTACTCTCTTTCACTTGTGGTCTACTAATCCTTGATTTGAACTCTGTTAGTGGCATTTTTTAAATTCTGCCTTTAAGAAAACTACTCTGTTTCAGTGGCACTTTTTTTGCACTCCATGGTGAGTTTGGGAGAAGAAGGGAGTACAGAATACAGGATTTACTACCGAGGTTTCAGGTGCAGCCCAGAAAGAGGAGATAAGCAGAGTATTTCAGACTTTTATGTTTTACAAAATCTATTCAGTAGTGATTTGAATTATTTTAATTTGGAATATATGGTGGGGCTTTTAAGCCTATTCCTTTGAACAACACTGAGTGAACTGTCTATTTTCTCCATCATTTTGGACCCTGAAAAACTGTACCTGGGATACCTCATTTGTATAATTATCCTTTTTCAAATTGACTACTGGAATCTCTCAAGTTCTCAAATGTCAACTTGTATGAAATTTAAAACTGTCCTTAATTTGTCCTTCGAAAGTTGCGTGGCAAAAGCAGGACAGTTCAGTGTTGGTGGGCAGTAGAATTGAAGAAATATGCTTTTGTTGTTAGGCTTGTTTTCCTTAAAGATAGGCTGACTATATCCAGGGTTTCTATATCATCTGGGTAACTTGGGACATTGCGGTAGTTGCCTGCATACCTGCAAAATGCTCCACGCCATTCCAACTCTTGCCCAGACTGCCCCGTGCCCCTGCGTTTCTGGAATGCCCATTAATTCTTAACTACCAGGACTTTTGGTTGCCCTCATTAAACGCCACTTATATTTCTTTGGCAGGTTCATGCCAGGTTGTTTCATTTGAGCATTGTTCATGTAGCTTATTCCTTAAATGTGTCTTTTTCCGTAAAGGTTATGTACATGGAAGAAGAAAGAAATTTCACTGTTGAGCAGATAATGGGGATGCTTCTCACTAAACTAAAAGAAACTGCAGAGAATGCACTTAAGAAGCCTGTACTTGACTGTGTTGTTTCTGTAAGTAGTTGATGGTAAACTTAGTTTTTATACTAAACTTGGCTCTGTAGTTCTGTTGAAGTCTGGTGGCAAAACTAGAATATTCAGTGTTCTTGCTTTCTCTGTTGAACTGACTCTGACTTGCATCTTTCTCTGTAGCTCATTCTGCTAACATTAGAATATATCACAAACTGCTGCTGTAGGTGTTTGCACTCTGTGTTGACTAAAATCAGTGAATGAAAGAAAGAGAGGGTCTTTTTAAGTAAGCAAGCCAAGCATTTCTTTGTTCCACAAAATGCTTGCTTTTCCTCACTTGGAACACTTCAAAACAAGTTTCAGACATGAAAGAACTACTCGAAGTAAAACATCCTTTGGCCTCAGTACCAGATATTTTAAACTTTTTTTTTTCTGGTGGTTCAGTGTAGGTTTTCTCTTCTAAATTGGATTTCTCAGCCATGTACAATTCTTGCAGGTTCCATGTTTCTATACGGATGCAGAGAGGAGATCGGTGATGGATGCTACGCAGATTGCTGGACTTAATTGCCTGAAATTAATAAATGAAACTACTGCAGGTAATTTTGTTCCCTTTAACTATTGCAGTTAATAAGGCTATGAGACTTCATTCCCTGATGATGTCCTTATGGGCAGGGAATAGTGACGGTTAACTCAGATGAACTCTAAAACTGATACTGGTGGCTCTCAGAAGTTCCTGGGTTACTTCTATGGTCCTTTATCTCCAGATGATTTTGAAGCTATTAATTGTATTTCAATACATAATTGTAAGAACATCTTATTTTATATGACTACTTTGGAAGAATAATGCTATATTTTTATAAGTGCTCTTCCATACTATTACCCTTCTAGGGGATTTGGAAAGGATCTAGATATAATCTTATTCAAACCTTAATATAGTCATTGCTTCAGTAAATGCAGGCTTAAGAAAACAACACCCAAATTGTTGAGTTACTATGGTGTATAGTGTGTTGATTTATGTCTCTCTGTCTAGTTGCCCTCGCATATGGAATCTATAAGCAAGACCTGCCTGCCTTAGAAGAGAAGCCAAGAAATGTTGTATTTGTGGATATGGGACATTCTGCATATCAAGTTTCAGTATGCGCATTCAACAAAGGAAAACTTAAAGTAAAGAATCTTATGAATCCATTTAATAGTAAAAAATTCCATATTATATTTATGGGAAACAATAACTGAGACTTGTCTTAACCCCAAGCGTGTACAGATAGCACAGTTTAGACTTTAAAGTTCTGTCTTTCCAACTAGAAAGAAATCTATTGTGTTGATTTCACATAATTGTTGAATCTTGATTCCTTAAACTTCTTTTGAAGGGTATAAAAAAAACTTTTTTTACAGTATTGGGCTATCTTAATCTTAAGATGTGCTATATTTCTGAAAGGTGCTCAAGTTTGGTCACAAATATCAGAGTAGGAATTACTGGATACTTACTAGTAAATTTGCCTAATCTGATTCTCATAAGGACTTTAGTTTTTTAATTTCCTGTGAGCACTGTATTAAGTGTGAATGAGGGTTAAGCAAGCAAAGGAAGCTGGTTGAGTTGAAGCACAGTTGTCCATGCGTTTTAAGTTTCCTCTGGTAAGATACTAAAAGGCCTCTTTGCCATAAGATAGAGCGGTTAAATGCTGTAACCTTCCTGTAGTAGGCACACTTTGCAATCTGTATTGTTCCTTTTAGCTGAATAAACAAGAGTGTATTATCACGGGAGCTCAGTTAGATTAATGCCTTGAGAACTGAAAACTAAGCTAAAGACTTTGGAATGTACTCTGGAATTTCAGTGAGTTATGTACCTAATTAGAAGGCTGCAGTGTGCTTCAAGATCAGATTCATTTTATGAAAATACTTGGTTATATTAACAGTGTGAAACACCAGGAATAGTATGTATTTAAGGGAAGCTGCTAATAAGTACAAACCTGAAGAGCTGGATAGGGCCCTTACATTTAATTTTCTACATTGACTACAGAATAGACTTGGAAGGCACTGAGACTTGGAAGTCTCATTACATTCAAATAAGTTAGATTTGAATGTAAAATAATGCAGCACCAAAATTCGCTCTTACTGTGAGTCTGGGTCAGAGCAGAGTGAATATTAAGTCAATAAGCTATGATCACGAAGGAACTCTTAAAACTGGAATTAATCTTGTAGAAACTGAGGGAGGAGGCCTCTTTAGACTGGGGTGAGGTATATGTGCATATGCAGGTGATAAAGTAGTTTTTTCTGTGAAATTATCTTTAATTCAGACAAATTGGAAATAAAGGATTTTGTAGATACAAGGCTGTAAATGAATGAAATGAGCACTCTTCTGCTAGAGGAAAGCATGAAGAGGACAAATGAGTTTATTTTTAGCTTGGTATCGCACCCTCATGACGTACCAAATATTAAATGGGGTTATGACTCGCCTGTAGTAAAGGTTTAGGGGAGAGGTTGAAAACCTTCCTAGCAACTAAGTCAGAGTGAGTTATTGTAACTGTCTCCACCAGTATTCTGTGTGTTGCTACGCTTTTCCAGATGTTTCTGTGCTGTTTGGAATAGCAGGCACCCCAAGTCTAGTATTAGACTTGAAGCTGACACCAAGTTATTCTGCAACACAAAGGCAATGATCTTCTTTGAGGGAACATGTCCCTGTTGCTCTAGCTGCTTGTTTCACCATACAAACACGTGGTGAGATTGAGTTGCCTTTTGATATTTGTGGATACTGAAACTTTTTATTTCCATGTTCTTGCACAGGGAGTCTGTCTGTACATATGGTTGGAAGTGAGTGGATTTGCTCTGTGGCTACAGAAAACTAATGTAACTGTCAAACTATTACACAGTTCTTTTGCTATAACAGGCTACTCCATTTTGGGGTGTTCAGTAGCAGGTAACTGATGTAAACAGATACGATACGACTTGCTTAAGAATCCGACCAGCTGTGTTACATGGTAACTAAAGTGTTACCCATTTTTACAGTACTGGCCAGGGTGAAAGACCAGATGCATCCCTATGAGTACACCAGCTAGGTAATGCTGTTGTATTCTTAGTGACACATATGGAAGAAATAGCTTTGTTTCTTCTTGTGAAGTATACCAGAACAACATGGAATGAATTTGCTAATGGGAGGCAGACCAGTTAAAGAATTGGGATTTTGAGGGGCAGGAATAAAAGGCTAATACTTGGTTCTTTTTTCTTCTAGTAGCAGAAAGCTGTAACCGTGCTGCTCCAACACGAGGCATTTTCCCCACCAGTGGTGGCAAGTGCAGAATAAAACTGGGCACTGTGTTGGATTCTGGTTTTGTTCCTACCATTACTACAAAGAAAGAACCGTGTTGGAGCAGCCAGGTGTGATACCTCTAGACAGAATCTTGATGTCAAACTAATCTGCGTGTTCAGGCAGCGATATTGTTTGAAATGTAGTTATCCGTAGGCTTTGAAGTAGTTTTTTTTTAAGTTAGTTATGTTCAATCTTTGAAATTGTTGGCTGCTGCTTCTAGGTTCTTGCCACGGCATTTGACGCCACACTTGGAGGAAGGAAATTTGATGAGATGTTGGTTGGCTATTTTTGTGAAGAGTTTGGGAAGAAATACAAACTTGACATCAAGACAAAGATTCGTCCATTGTTGCGGTTGCATCAGGAATGTGAGAAATTGAAGAAGCTGATGAGTGCTAATGCTTCTGACCTCCCAATGAACATTGAATGCTTCATGAATGACATAGATGTTTCTGGAACGATGAACAGGTATTTTCAGTTTCCTCTATAGAAAGTCTGAGTTCCAAAAAAAAGTGCAAAAGGTAATAATACAAATGTGTGTCCTTTGCTATTTTTAGGTTACGTACGTAAGCTGTTGGCATCAGAGTACTTACCAGTGACTGGGAGCCAAAGTTTACTAATGTCCAATTTTTTTTCAAGGAGATGTGGGGGGTTGGCAGTTTTGAAAGGTCACAGTTTAAATAGTGAGTTATCCTGTAGTCCTGCATGGTATACCTCAAAGCAAGATTTACTTTTGAGATGAGCAAGTGCTAGAAGACTTGAATTACTAAGATGGCAATTTGTAGAACACTGAAATTTGGTAGTACTAAACCTATTACCTTTTTAGTTGCCAATAAAAATAAAGATGGCGAGGCTGTCAAGAAATAGCAGGTGCTAGTTTGCAAATGGCAATAGTGGCATTTTGTAGAGTGAAAGAGGGAATAGTGTAAACTGACTTTCACAGATTTTGTAACTACTGTTGAGGTCATGTGATCACTTGAACAACTTAAAAGCATGCTGTTCAGACTTCAGTTCTAACTTCTGTTCAACAGTAGGTGCGATTAAAGAGGCTTTTCAGATTAGTGTTTCAATTTCAGTTCAGTATTTCAAATTGCTGCAGTGAACATGCATACTAACACAAAATACTTGTTAGAAACAAACGGTTGTAATGTAATATAAGGCAGGGATTGTGTGCCAGTAGTGCCCTTAGTACGCTGGGACTGCAATACTGACCAGAGGTTCTCGGCAGCATCCTAACATAAAAGATGTCTGATTTTTAGGAGGGGTTAAGAAGCCTAAATATCTCTTGAGAATGGGACATCTCTTAGAAGTATAAACTAAAATGCCTGGTTCTTTGTTGCTGTAATTTGGAAGGTGTTCAAAATTACATTTTGCAGAATGTTCAGCTTTTATCTATCAGTATAAAAATTAATGTTGCATACACCTCCTCTGCTAGTTCTATAGCAAAGGAACACTTTGAAATATGTTGTTACAAAATGTTAAATTTGCATCTTTCTGCAAATATAAAATGTGCTTCGTCATTTGTTGGAAACGAAAATATCAGTTATGATCTCTTCCAACAGGAGTAAATTTTTAGAGATGTGTGAAGGTCTTCTGGCTAGAGTAGAACCACCTCTTCGTAGCGTTCTGGAACAAGCCAGTAAGTATACAAATATTCTGTTGGCTCCAGTGTCTAATGGTGCACACAAAGGAGAAGATATCCGTGGGGATCATTCTCTTTAGATGTATGCCAAATCTAAGTGTCTTAATTTGGCAGACTTCATTTAGTTGCAATTTGAAGTTGCATAAAAATCTGACACATACCTGGGTAAATAGGGTGGATACCTGTGTGCATGTAGCAAAATTTCCAGTAAAATCTCTAGAAAGCATAATTCATTTAGTAGTATCTTGTTTAAACTTATTTTTGCCCATTTAAGAGCTTCGTTGTGATGGAAAAGCCTAAACCAATATATGTAACTTTTTCTAGAGTTAAAGAAAGAGGATATATATGCAGTAGAAATAATTGGTGGTGCTACAAGAATCCCTGCTGTAAAGGAGAAGATCAGTAAATTTTTTGGTAAAGAAATCAGTACAACATTGAATGCAGATGAGGCTGTTGCTCGAGGCTGTGCACTGCAGGTAAGAAACACTGCCCATGTGCTATAAAGGCCTGATAATTTTAAATATAGGATGGTTGAGCCTAAGGGTATAACAGATTACTATCAAGCAGTAGGAGATTGGTCCTCCCAAAATTCAACTTACTTCTAGCAAGTAAGTATACCAACAGAAGCAGCAATGTAGTAGAGAATGGTTTGTTCCTTAAACAGCTTCTGTAGGTTGAACTATCAGTCTGGCATAAGGGAAACAGTGCAACCAAAAGATGAGCATGGTTGCCTGGAGTTAGAGAGGGATTCTAGTCCAGCAATTTATGAAACGGTTTTTATTATAAATGTGACACTTAATTTCTTTCATTTGTCTTCATTGTAAGCTATGCTGGGCACTTTTGGGGGAAGAATGACAAAAAATAAAATAATCAGTGGTACCTCCTAGCAATTGTTTGTGCTGTTATGTTTAACAAAGTTAACAAGCAGGTCTGTAAAAGATGAGCTAAGATTTTATAGGGGAAATGTCTTTTAGTTGCACCAGTGTGCAAGTAAAACTTTTGTTTAGGTTAGAATTGAGATAACAGCCTGACTTTAAATTATTGTAAACGAAAAGTACATGCACGTTCAGCCAGCAAGCAACGCTAATATCATTGCTAGAATTACAGATCTGAAGTCACTGCTCATCCCTAGCTAGAAGCAAATTCTTGATGATTTCTAACTTTGAGTGCTAACATACCTTTAAAAATATTTTCAGCCATGTTGCTTTCTTTTAGCTTCTAGTGAGGTTGAGTAACTAGTAATTTAAACTACTGACTCTGTATTTAATCTTTTTGCCACTTGTATATAGTGTACCTGTTCTCAAAGCACTGTTTGTTTATGGTACTCGGTAACCCTGGTGGTTTGTCCTCACTAATCCATCTTTTTTTACCCCTATCTTGACACTAAAAATATAGTGGATAAATTATGACTAGAATCAGAAAAATTAACAAATGGGCTTGAAATTGAGTTATACACAAAGTCTGGTTTTATACAAATATGCTTACCTGTTGTGGAGATGCATGACAGTCAAAATATAAATTAGACACTTAGTGAGTTTAACTTGGAGTCAACTTAAATGTTAAGTAGCTTAGTCATTTACCATACCTAAAGAAACAACATAACTTGTTATAGATAACTTCATATTTTACAATTTGATGGATTTTTTTGATGTTTTTATAGTGTGCTATTTTGTCTCCGGCTTTCAAAGTGAGAGAGTTTTCTATCACAGACTTAGTACCGTATCCTATTTCCTTACGATGGAATTCACCAGCAGAGGAAGGGATAAGGTAAGATTTAGTGTTACCAAAAATATTTGCATGCCTATGGAAGCTGCTAAACTTTAAAGCAGGTTATTCTAAAAGTGCCATCTCAAAAGTTCAAATACCGAAACTTTGACTCATGAAAACAATGAAAAGCAGTTCTCTAATTTATCATGCTCAGTGCTTTGGCTTTCTGCGGGTGTGCAGTCTTCTTTTGTATCATTGCTAATTAGAGCCCTTTTGTAATGTGGTTAAGGTAAAGGTGTATTTTTTTTCTAGGAAACTTTTTTTTAAAATCACTCTAACTTCAGCACTTCTGAATTGCTGTATTTCCCTTACTTTGTAATTTCTGTTTATTAGTGATGATTTTTATTTATTTTTCCCAGTGATTGTGAGGTCTTTCCCAAGAATCATCCAGCTCCATTCTCCAAGGTCCTCACGTTCTACAGAAAGGAGCCTTTCACTCTGGAAGCTTACTACAGTTCTCCCAAGGAACTGCCTTACCCAGACCCTGCTATAGGTATTTAAGAAAGGAAGGAGAAATAAGAACTCCTTCACTTAAAGAATAAGTTTTCTATATTTTTCTAAAGTACTTTTGAGCCTTCCTTCTGATCCTTTAGATTTGGGCTTTTCCCATCCCACTGCAACAGCTTTAGTATTGACAACCAATTTGTTAAGACCTGATGTCTTGGGTATAAGTGTTTTGTATAAACAGGGTTATGACTTTTTAAACTGATGTGACTGGAGGAGAAAACCTTTAAATTTTTCACCAGTTAATGGAGGAGAAATGTGTGCATCAAAAAAATATGTAAAGGCTAATAGCTGGGCAAGGCTGAAATGGGGTTTATTAAATTAACCCACAGCCATCTCGGTACCAAACTTCTGAGGTTTTAAAGTGTATGCAGGATATAAGGCTAACTCTTCAGTAAATATCCTTTTGTGACTAGTCAAAGAAGCCAAAATCATTAGTAGTCAGGATCTAGGCAGCCAAAAGCCAGGGCTAATGGGGCTTATCCCCCCCCCCCCCAACTGGGCTGGCAACAGCAGCTGCGCAGCACCCCTACCATACACTCCACTGTCACGTGCACAGTACCAGCATATGCTGACTCAAGAACAGCCCTGTGGGAAGGAGGGGTGGGGTCAGGCAGGCATGCTCTGCACCCTGTCCCCAATAATATTTTCTCATGCTGCTTATGAGTCAGGATTTAGTAATGTTCACTTTCATATTAAATTATCCTGTTTTTTTTTTTTTTTCTGGGATTTTAGCTCACTTTTTGGTCCAGAAGGTCACACCACAGACAGATGGATCCAGTTCAAAAGTGAAAGTCAAAGTCAGAGTAAACATCCATGGTATTTTCAGCGTTTCCAGTGCATCTTTAGTGGAAGTTCACAAATCTGATGAGAATGAAGAGCCCATGGAAACAGACCAGCATGCTAAAGAGGAAGAGGTAATGCATTTTATGGCTATGAAGGTCTCCTAGACACCTGTTAATTCAACTCGGTCCATATTTCAATAGAAGCCAGGGCTAGCACATTTTAATTTTTGCGATTTTAATTTGAAGATCTGTATCCTTTTGCAGATACTAGTTTTAAGATAGCAGAATATTTTGTAGATCTATTAATTAAAATGTGATAGTTTTTTGGATTTTGTTAATCTGTGGCTTCTGAAGCCAGGTTACGTTACAAGTGAATGTATTGTTCTTTAAAAAATGTATGCATCACTTAAAAATGATATTACTTAAGTCTGTTTAGGAGAAGCTCATACTTTTACGGTAATACAGGTTAGGATTGAAGAATATTGCTAAATACAGGGAAGCTAGTAAGATCTATTTATTCTGTGTGCATACACACACACTAACATTATTTTAAAGTGGACTATTTTATGGTCTTGTGCCATAGACAGCCTCTCTGGAACAACCCCTTACAGCGGTAACTGTTTGTTCTTGTAATTGGGGGTGAGAATTTGCAGTAGTAGATGTTTTGTATTCAAGTGAAAGCTAAATGGGGCTGACTTAACTGTGCTGCTTCATCACAGGATAAAATGTCCTGGCCTAGCTCTCACTGTAGGCTAAGAACAGTGAAGCAGCTGTGTGCTGTGGAGCAGCTGAGTGCTCAAATAAATGGTGTCTTGATAAATGCCAACACTATGTAAAGATTAGTGAACCTGCCTTAGACATGCTTGTGCTTGGACAGAGTACCAAAGAATGGACTGGGGAAGGACATAGGCTGGTGTCTTTTAGTCCCCAGTTCTGCATCAATATTAATGCAGTCCTTGTCCCACCCTCATGGAGGGTGCGGCGGGGGAAAGATGAGGGACAAAGCAGTGAAATGGGCCAATGCCCTTTCAAGAGTCTCTCCTAAACTAAATTTCAAAACTACTTGCAAAATTAATTTGGTGAGCTTATTAAAATTAGTAGTCTTAAACAGTTGAGAAAAGACCCCCTTAAGTGCTTCTTAGTGCTTCTGTTACTTGTATCCCAGTCTACAGTGTGTTACTAAGGGTAACAAGTTGAGCTTTGATGCATGTGGGTATGGTACTCCGAGATGGAAAACTCTCCAGAAAATGCACTGGACTGGTACTGGTACTGAGCCCAGCTGTAGTACTTCAGTACTTGGAGCTGCAATACATAGTACTTGTGTAGCCATGGTATCTTCCACTTTGGCAGCTAATTCTATGGTACCTGTTGCCAGGGTTCAAGACTACTTTGATACCAAAATGTTGTGCTATGCATAGGGGTCTTACTGATAGGCCTGATAGAGAAATTTCCTCTGACTTTGAGAAACTGAATGGGATGCCAAACCACTAGCCTTTGGAGGCTTATGGAATCCTGTATTAAGTATTCCATATATAAAGGCAAGTTAGAGACAGGACCATCTCTCCCTTGGAGGCATGTTCTTTCTCTTTGTCAAATATAGTGATAAATGATTCCCCACAAATCCATGTGTTCTTCCAGAGGCTGTTCAGATACGTTTCCAGATACGTAAGAAAATTAGTCTCAGTTGGCATTTTACTAAAGTACTTCTGATTTCAGAAAATGCAGATTGATCAGGAAGAGCAACAAAAGACTGAAGAACAACAACAAGCACAAACTGAAAATAAGACAGAATCTGAAGAAATGGAGGTATGTACTGTATTTTTTTCACATACAGCATATTGTAGAATATAATACACACCTTGTATTTGGGAAGTCAGAATAAATAATTTTTTCCCCCAGTTATGACTGCATAGAGCAGGAGCAGAGCCTAACTTTCAGTTGACTTGCCCTCCTCCTCCTGCTTAACAGAAGCTGAAACTAACAGCTACTGAATACTGGTCCCCAGTGATGGATCTGTGATTTTGAAAAGAGCTGAACTGTGTCCAGGGGCATAAAATTGGAGAGACCAGGAGTAGCTAGTAGACAGTAATATTGGCCTAAGAAAGTTTAGCCTGATTAATAGAACATTTAAAATGAAGTGACTATTGATAACACGTGTGGGGTAAAGAGCAAAGAACTGTTAAATCAATTGACTCCCTCAACTTCTTGAAGAGTAATGCTACAGTTGTTGCACTGTGGAGCAAGAATAAAAGCAGGGTGCTGCTATGCTGGAGAGAACTAGCTCCCCAGCTTAATGCATGCACACACACAGTTTTGAGGGACTGATTGCTGTCGGGACCAGGTGCCACCCAGCTGTGGCGTGTTTTGCCATCCTTGGGGCACATAAAGGAACTGCAGTGGCTCTGCAGCTGGGGTGCCTGTCCACACAACCCAGGCAGTGGTGGCTCCTTCCAGCTGCTGCTGCCACTAGTCCCAGCCTCGCGGTATTGATGGAAACCTGTGCGTGCAGCCCTGACCAGAGCGTCCTGTGCCTGCTCCACTCTCCTGGGCTGAGCAGCGGCAGTGGCTGCCAGGCAGTAACTGTTGCTCAGCACAGGGGAAAAGTGGCCCCTCCCCCTCACCACCACTGGGTAGTTCTTGGTGCAGCCCCTGGAGCATGCACCCCACTGAGCTACCTTGCTGCTCTACCACTGTCACTGCTGCCTCTGGGCTGCCCAGTGCGGCAGTGGTGACAGTGCAGAGCAGCTACAGGGCAGCCCAGAGGTGGCGGTGATGCAGGGCAGCTTGGTGCAGCATGGATTCAAGGGGCTGCACCAAGAACTACCTGGCAGTGGTGAGGGGGAGAGGCAGCTTTTCCCAGTTTCTGCCCAGTGCCGCTGTTGCTGCTGCTGCTCAGTCTGGATGGGAGAGTCCACAGCAGGCATGGGGCGTGCTGGGTCAGGGCTGCGCGTGTGGGTACCCACTGGTACTGCGGGGCAGGGAGAGGTGGCAGCAACTGGAAGGGGTGGCCCCAGCCCTGCTGTGTGCCCAGGGGATGACAGTACACACCATGGCCGAGCAGTGCTGAACAGGTGTGGGGCAAGTTGGGGCTGCATGCTGTTGGTAGTGGTGGGGAGGTGCTGCAAGGTGCATGGGCTCTGGGCTCTTGCAGGGCAAGGGCAGGTGCTGACTGGGGGGGCTCCCATGCACACCCCACAACCACACCCTCCCCGACATCCCCCAAACTCGCACCTGCACACATCTGTGGGGAGCCCTGCTCACTTACACCCACCCACATGCATACCCCCAGCCACCTCCCCTTCTGCACACCCTGCAATATGCAAGAGTAAGACTGCGTTTTGAGCTATTATGCCATCACCATACACAGTGCAAACACAGATCAGGACAAATTTTTTTTAATAAAATTAAAATGTTATTGTGGTTGTTTGATTTTTAATGTGTTTGTATGTTTGTTTTTCTGGTTCCAAGAAGGCAAACCCCCTTCCCAAAAGGAGTACTTCTGGGGCCTTCTAGTGGCAAAGGTTAGGGGGTAGGCCTTCTGGTCCCAAGATGGCAACCAGGGGGTGGGCTGCATGTCAAGGAGTGGGGTCCTCCATAGCTCAAGCAGCCCTCCAGCTGAAATAATTACCTGCTTCTGTTCTACAGGTTGCATAGCTGCCAAACCAGGATCTCTCATGGCTAGCACACAGTTTTGGTTAAAAAAAGCAAACCAAAAATTGTGGGGGTTGGCAGTTAGAAAACTGAACTCAAATAACAGCAGCATTTTGGTTATATTCTATTTTGAACCTATTTAGCCTTCATGTTTAAGACAACTTGCCGTAGAATTTCACTTTTTGCCAAACTGGAGAGCTGTTAACTTTCAGGACTGTCTCTCAGAATTTCATTAAAAGAATGAAGTGGGACTGAAAGATTAACAAGGTGTAGGTAAAGACCATGAAAGGAAAACATAATACAATTATGACTTGAATAAGTGTCCCTTCTAGTGACTGTGTTTTGGGTTTTTTTTCCTTTCTTTTAATGCAGACATCTCAGGCTGACTCAAAAGATAAGAAAGTGGATCAGCCACCTCAAGCAAAGAAGGCTAAAGTAAAGACTACTACAGTGGACCTTCCCATTGAGAATCAGTTGGTGTGGCAGATTGGAAAGGACATGCTGAATTTATACATTGAAAATGAGGTAAATATAACTGAATCATATGTCTGCCTCTACCCACAAATTGATCCAGACAGCTGGTCATGAGGCATACTCTGTTCCAACTGGGAAATGACAAAATGGGATGGTAGGGTAAGCAGATATCATAGGCTGTAAGGCTGGCAGGGACCTCAGAAGATCATTGGGTCCAGCCTCCTGTACCAAGCAGGGAAGTCGCCTTGCTGGAGTCAGGTGACCCCAGCAAGGTGACTGTCTAGTCTCCTCTTTAAGATTTCCAGGGTAGGTGATTGCACCACCTCTGGAGGGAGCTTATTCCACCATCTGAACACCCTGACTGTGAAGAAGTTTTTCCTAATGTTGAACCTGAATCAGTCTTCCAGGAGCTTGTGGCCATTTCTTCTGGTTTTCCCTTCGGGTGCCCTGGTGAATAATTGCTCGCTGAGCCCTCTGTACTCCCCTAGTGTAGCAGTAAGCTGCTATCATGTCCCCTCTCAGCCTTCTTTTCCTGGGGTTGAACAGTCCGAGATCCCTCAGCCTTTCCTCATATGGCTTGCCTTTTAAGACTCTGCTCATATGGGTTGCTCTTCTTTGGACTCTCAAGCTTGTCCACATCCTTGTTGAAGTGTGGCACCCAGAACTGGACACAGTACTCCAGCTGCGATCTCACCAGTGTTGAGCGCAAGAATCGCCTCCTTGGCTTTGCCGGGGATGCATCGATTTGATGCATGCCAGAGTATGTTTGCCCTATTGGCTACAGCGCTGTGCTGCTGGCTCATGTTCACATGACAAGTAAAAAAAGAAACAATGACTGACTTTCTCCACAAAGGACAAACTTTAGCAAGTTTTTCAGCCCTTTTAGACCGTGGTATAAAATAGCCACTTATCAAGGGCAGGAACTGTTGTTTACTTCAGCATGTTGTACAAATTGGATGGAATTTAAAATGTATCACCTTGTGAACCAAAACATAGGCAACATGACAAAAGTTGTAGAACCCACAACTGAGGTGTGACACGGATGGTTGCGGCTTTCCTGAGCACCTCCTTTGTGTCGTGCAAGGTTAGTACTTTTAAAGGTCTAAAAAAGCATGTTGCATTGATAGAAAGTAGATAAGAGTTGGACTCTACAGGGGTCCAACTCCTCTTTAAGCATCTCTTGCTGCCATTAGCAGGGTGTGTTTGCACATTTTTATTAAGTTGATTTCTTACTTCCTGAGTTGAGTAGTATCTAGGGAGCCATTAAAATTTGATTAATAAAGGTTGCTCACCTCGAAGAACAACTCCTTACAAGGAAAGGAACTGCGAGAAATGAACTGTTTAAAAGATCATGGTATAAAATAGCCACTATCTTTTTACAGTAGTATAAGGAATCCAGTATGATGGATCATCTGTATTGTAGAAGGTAGGGTAGGTTTGCACCTTTATAAATCAGTGGTGCTCTACCTTTTGGCCCTGGAGCTTGGATGAATGGCACATGGCCTGTCAGTGAGCTGGACTGAGTCACAAGCCACCTACCTGGGTTTAGGCCCTGCATGCAGGGCCTTATTATCCATCTTGCAGGGCTTCCTGCAGGTTTGGAAATTGGGCAGCAGGGGATCAGTAGCTGCTGCCACTGCTTCCCCACCACCAAATTTTCAGACCTGGGGGAGCCCATTGGGCTGGATAATGCAGCTAATTTAATCGGATGGTATGGTTAAAGTCATCCTTCCTTTATAGAAGAAACAGCATGATGACAAAGCAGAAAATGCACCTTTTCAAACTAAAGATGCTTAGTATTTCTCTGCAGTTCTTTCTAGAATATTTTAAAGCCATAAAAACACGTTCATTTTAAATGAACAAAATGGACACGTGGAACAACACCCTAACTAGCAACTTCAACAATAGAAGGGTTCCTAGAGACCTAATTCCTTTTAAGGGCATCCCTAATCAGGACTAGTCATCTTGGGAAGCAAGCTGCTGCTCAAGAAACCCACATGTAAGGTAGTAAGTCATCTTGATTGAAGTGCCAGGTTAGGACTTCACACCTTGTTGGTGTCATCTGCTTTTTTCCATGACCTGTTGAGCATGGACAGATGAGCTTGTTGTAGAAATCAAATTCTTACTTTAATAGAGAGAATGTCAGATGTTCTGTACTAAAATTATTCTTCTCTATGGCCTTAAATATTACTGTTTTTTAAGTTACGATTGGTCTCAGCTTTGGACCCAGAGAAACTCAAGATTTTTCCAACCAGATAGTAGTTATTGTATGTTTTAACAGCTAAACTAAATAAAGCAGTTGACCTTATAAGGAAGTGAGTAACAGATTTAATTTTTTTCCCTTTTTTTTTTTTCTGCAGGGTAAAATGATCATGCAGGATAAGTTGGAGAAGGAGCGGAATGATGCCAAGAATGCAGTAGAAGAATACGTGTATGACATGCGAGACAAACTTTGTGGCATTTATGAGAAATTTGTTTGTGAAGATGTAAGTACAGACAAATTAACTAATTACTTGGGATCTAATATTACAGGTGCACTGATATGTCGGTTGCCTATCAGATTGGCACTGATAAAAAGGGAAATTTACATTATCGGCTATTGGCTTTTTTTCGGCTGTTATAGCTGATTTAATGTTTATTGATAATTACACATTTTGGCCAGGGCCCCCAGGTGCCTGGCTTCCCTTGGGGAACGGTAGTTTTTCCCTTGTAGGCAGGCAGCATTCTAGCCTGCTAGGGATCCTTAGGGATGCCAGGAGTGAGATGCAGGGGATGCTGTGTGCATGTGCATGGCTGCACGCTTGCACAAGGCCAGAAGTACAGCTAGGCAGTATTGAGAGCAGCTCCCTGCAGGTAAGTCTGTGGAGGGGAAGCAGTGTGGGGTGGGGAAGGGAAGGAGTGCGGGCGGGAGGGAGGAAGTAGGGCTGTGGCTGGGGGCGCTGCCCAGTGAGGGCAGTGCATAGGACCCAGGGTGGAAAGCAGGATGGAGCCAGGGAAGGCTCATCCAGAGGGTGTGGGGGAGGGCAGTTCCCCACCACTGTGTGCACCCCCCTGGTGGAGGCATGGGGCAGCATGTGCCCCACACAAATCTGGGAGGGGATGCACCCCCCCCCCAAGGAATGCTCCCAATTCTCACCCTCTGGACTTAACTTGCAGTCTTTCATTCCCATAGGGGAGAGAACCCTGATGATGATGCTAATTAACCAAATGATAATTAGCAAATTATCACGGTACACCACAGATTTGTGCACGGGGCAGATGCAGGCTGCCCACTGGTCTCGGGGCTTTCCACCTTGCTGCCTTTGCCCAGGGAGCCTCGCACTGGCTGCATGTCCACTGCCCACTGGGCAGCAGTGGGGGCAGGAGGTTGTGCCTTGTGCTGCCAGGTGGGCATGGGGCATGCAGCTGGCGTGGGGCTCCTGGGACAAAGGCGGCAGAGCAGAGAGCCCTGTGCCCCTGGAGGGCAGCTTGCATCTGTCCCATGCACAAATCTGTGGTGTACCATGATAACTTGCTAATTATTTTGGCTAATTGGAAGCATCATCAGGGTTCTTTCTCCTCTGGGAATGAAACTCTGGAAGTTTAAATCCAGAGGGTGAGTATTAGAAGCATTCCTTGGTGGGTTGTATACCTTTTGCCACTTTTTCTCCCCCTCCTCTGATTAGACTACATTAATGCTGTGAATTGAGCAATTCTTAAATTTATAATCCATCTTCAGATGTGTGAAATCTTATTCCTTCTCACTTACTGTATTAGGCATACTGGCTCCAAATGGCCTATTATATTAAAGCCAGGCCTACAGTAGAATGTTCTGCAACACAGTCTCTCTTTATTTCAATTACTATATAGACAAAGAAATGAAACTAAACCCCGAATATAAAAATGTACTTCAGGTTCTATAACTTATTTAGTTGGGGAAACTAATACTCTTTGCCAGTGTAGTATAGACATAACTAATTGAAACAAGTCTGTAGTGCAGATAGCCTTGATAGAATGACTTTCTACTGTTTGCCTACACTTCATACAATATCATAGAAAATGAGGGTTGGAAGGGACCTCAGGAGGTCACGTCTAGTCTACCTCCTGCTCAAAGCAGGACCAGCCCCAACTAGATCAGCCCAGCCAAAGCTTTGTCTAGCCAGGTTTTGAAAACCCTCAAGGATGGAGCTTCCACCTATCTGGGGAAAACTGTTTGAATGTTTTATTACCCTTTTAGTGAGAACATTCTTAATATGTAGCCTAAACTTCCCTTGTTGCAACTTGAGACAATTGCTCCTTGTTCTGTCATCTGCCACCACTGAGAACAGTCCAGCTCCATCCTCTTTGGAGCCACCCTTCAGGCAGTTGAAGACTGCTATTATGCTTCTCTTCTCTGGACTAAACAAGTCCAGTTCCCCAGTCTTTCCTCATAAGTCATGTCCTCCAGCCCCCTAACCATTTTTGTTGCCCTCCACTGGACTCTCCTTAATTTGTCCACATTCTTCTTGTAGTGGGGGGCCCTGAACTGAACACAGTACTCCAGATATAGCCTCACCAGTGCTGAATAGAGGGGAAGAATCTCTTCCCTGGACCTATTGGCAACATGCCTACCAATGCAGCCCAATATGTCTCTTGCTTTCTTTGTAACAAGAGCACACTGGCTCATATTCAGCTTATTGCCCACTGTAACCCCCAGGTCCTTTTCTGCAGAGCTGCTGCCCAGCCTGTCAGTACCCAGCCTGTATTGGTAGATGCGATTATTTTGTCCTAAGTGCAGGACTTGCACTTATCCTTGTTGTGAACCTCATAAGATTCCTTTTGGCCCAGTCCTCCAATTTGTCTAGGTCACTCTAAAATGTCCAAATTCCAGTTTGTTAGGACTCACAAAATTGTTCTTTTTCGTCAGCTATTTCAGGAATATTCTCAATCTATTTTAAGATGCAGTTTTTTCTTTGCAGAGTATATACAGGTAATATTGTATACAAATGAATGACTTCTGGGAATTCAGTATTCTGCAATGTTTTTGTTCTTAGGATCGAAATAGTTTTACTCTGAAACTGGAAGACACAGAAAACTGGCTGTATGAAGATGGGGAAGACCAACCCAAACAGGTTTACATTGATAAACTAACAGAACTGAAGGTAAGGGATTCTCCACTAAGTGAAGCCTTCTAATCTCATAGGGTCCCCACATACAGGGGTGTGCATTTGCTGCAGCACAAACTTGTGCCGCTGCTTTTTGCTGTTGTGTGTACCCCTGACCATTAGGTTTGCTGCAGGGCAAAATGCCCCACTTCAGGGAAACTGCTGTTTCCCTGCTCCCCTGCTGGAGCACCCAGCACCCAGTGTGCTGGAGGAGCCAGGGGACATGTAAAAGAGTGGAGGTGCTCTGGCCAGATGCCAGAACATCTCCCTGGAAGGCATAGCCTCCAGTTGCTCTGGCACATGCTCCTGGAGTGTGCACCACACCATTTTTCTTATTTTTTATTTTTGTATTGGTAGCTTCCCGTAAGAAACTTTGCTGCACTACAAGCAGTCTTGAGTAGGGCCGAGTTAATGCATAGGCAAACTAGGCATATGCCTAGGGCCCTAAGTGAAGAAGTGTTGCTTATTTTACATATTATAATTGACTGAAGAAGGAAAAAAAAAAGTAATATAAAAATTTCATCTTCAGCTGGTGGCCCACAAGTTTGTTTGCCTAGGGCCCACTAAAGGGTTAATCCGGTCCTGGTTTTGAGGTGCCACAGACTGCATTGGCATGCTCAACTGGATATGCCCACACTAGCATGCTCATCTGGATGTGCCTGCACTGGCCTACAGAGTAGGTGTTGTTTGAACCTAGATGAGCTGGCATGTAGGGCTACCTCCAAACCTTAGAAAATACTTAAATTAGCAGTGGAAGTCCTTTTTTCATTGAGATGAAAATGAGATAAATGCTTCTGGTGGTCCGAGTATTGCATTGTGTGGGCTTTTTCATCAAAAGTTGCTTGGAAGAGTAGACATGGGAAATGCTACTTGCTTTTGAAAGGTAATAGTACTTCTAACAAGAAAATAATTTTTATAAATCAAGGTTATGGATAGATACTTTGGAAACTAGAAGAAAATGCTACCTGGCAAGTAAAGATTCTGTTTTGGCAGTAGATGATGCTTTAATATCTCTAGCTAGAATAGTGAACAGAAAGCTTTATGTAACTGAAAGAGTGTATAATGTTAAATGTTTTTAAATATAAAAAACTAATTAGATATTTATGCTAGAGCTTCCAAATCTGGCTTAAGCTGTCCTGATTTGATTTCCATTCTTTCCTCCCTCCCCCCAATCTCAGGATGTTTTTATATATTTATATTTTGTAATAATGGTAAAGGATGCAGTAAGTCACTGATACTCAACATGTGGGGTATAGCCTCTAGAAGAGATACAGTCCTAGCCAGGAGCAGGAGGAAAGGCAGATGAACATCTGTCTTCCTCTAGTCTTAAATTTCTTTTTAAAAAGCAGCTGCAGAGAATCTTTCAACAAGTGATTTGGGATGAATCAAAGTAACAAGCTTTCCCCATATTGAAGTTGGTGTCAACTTTTGCCTGTGATCAGATTGTCAGTACTTAATGATTACACTTCCAGTAAAAGCACATAAAGTGATGACTTCTGAAAAGCTAAAAAGGATAGCAATATGTGGTATGGCCAATAATATGAACTGACTCATTTTTCTATAGTGTTGGGGAGGGCTTAGAAATTTCTAAACCATTTTAAAAGTTATGTCATCAATGTGAGGCAAGGATTTCTTTGGGTGATGATAGAATTTATTGGGCCAGTTGTATAGTTGGGATGGTTAGATAAGCTTTTGAGTGCATGACATGTCTCTAATGCCATGCATTCAGAAGCTCATCTATCTCTATCCCAACTATGCAGTTGGTCCAATAAATGGTGTCACCCTCAAAAATCCTTGCCTCAATTTTATGTATCATCATGACTACAACATTTATTCTTAGTATCATCCAGTATGGCATCAAGAAATTGCTCTAGATCATATATAATGCTGTAACTTCTCTTTAATTTTTTTTCTCAAACTTTCTTGTGTTTTCATTTCAGGCTTTGGGTCAGCCTATTCAAGCAAGGTTTCAAGAATCTGAGGAAAGGCCAAAAGCATTTGAGGACCTTGGAAAGCAAATACAACAATACATGAAAGCTGTTCATGCATTCAAAGCAAAGGTATCTTCCCACTTTTCTGCAAGGAAATATTATACAAATGTTGTCCT